TTGAGTTCTGAATTCTTCATTCTTCTCTTTGGCCCTCTTTGCCCAGACTAACATTTGCAATTGGGTTGTTTACCTTTTTCTTACTGAGGTGAGGCTCTACTTTTCTAAGCATGTTATCTTCTCCAGAGACTGCTCCCCTATAACATGTTTGGTATATGTAAAATTAATCTTACCATCCTTGCTTCTGAAGAACATTCCGGTTGCAAGTTGTGCTTCTTCCAAAACAGATTTGTTTATTTTTCTGGCAGTTCATGACACTAAAATGTAAAGGCACTGATTATTCTTCAGTGTTTGTTACTCATTGTCCAACTTTTACATGCATATGGAGCACTTGAAAGTACTGTGCCATAGGTGAAGGAATGAGTCAAGAAAGTTCACCATCACCACTTCCATTCACTTCTCAGTTGGAACCTTAGTCAATGTAGTAAGTCAGGAAAACAAAAGAAAATGTATAATTCTTGGAAAGTATGACAACACTTTTATTCCTTAACAATATTACTGTATATTTATGATCAAAAGAAACAACATCCCAATTAGTATTACTACTAAATAGATGAGGAGTTTTGGTATTCTACCAGTAAGTACCTTCAATGCCAACCCAAAGGCATATGGTTCAAATCCATCGATTGTTCCATGCAGAAAGATGGACAGTATCCTCCCATGTGATTTATAGCCTCAGAAAATCTGCTGAAGGGTCAGCTATGAGTCAGTTCAAACTCAAAGGCCCATAACAACAACAAAATAGATGTTTGTTTTTCATAAGTAAGGTTTCTGAAGATGAGTTCATTATAAATATGAAGAACAAAAAACTTAGCAATAAAGATAATGCATGGATAGAAAGCTATTCCTGTATAACTAGTAAGTTTTGTGACTGTAGGAAATACAGTTTCTTACACACTAGTGGCCTAGAGGCAAGAAGCTGTGTTGCAGTCCTGAAGGCATGTGGTTTGAACCCACCAGCTGCTCCACGGGAGGATGGGCAGTCTCCTCCTGTGCAATT